AAGACTCACTTGATCTTGATCTTCAAAGTTCAGGCTGAATGATGACATCTCAACGTTCATGGAGACTTCTGACATCTCAACGTTCATGAAGAATTCGACTTCCGACATCTCAACGTCCATGGAGAATTCCAACAATACCTAACTATGACAGAGCTGTGAACAAACCAGCGAAATGCTTCTTCACCCTGCGAACAGAACAGCTTGTTGGCGAGAAATAATTTTTTGCTGGCGGGAAATTTTTCAGGATTCGGGTTTAGGGTCGGGCCGGGTCGCGAATACTGATGGAATAGGTGGGGGGCCGGAGTTTACACCTGGTGACAATATATTGGATACGAACGTAATGCATAGTACTGATGGAATAATTTTTCATCATATTCAGCTAACAAAGTTTTTAAAATTGAGTCCAATAATTATAAATATGATTTTAGTAATATTTATCCAGCAATAATATCAGCAGAATATCTAAATTCAATATCAACAAATAATTTATCATTAAAATGTAAAGAAAAGACTATTACAATAACTCATCTAAGGAGTAAATCGCTTTTGAATCAATTAAATAACTATTAACCATAATAACATTTCAATGGTGGACGTGAGGCATGAGTAACTCTAATTTTAGTGATGAATAACTAGTAAATTGAAAGTCATAAAATAATATATAGAGTTTGAAGCAAATAAACTTAACAGGTGAAATCTATTGACTATAGTGTGAACAACAAATTGGGATATAAATGATCAATGAAAGAGGATAGAGTAGCAATTGATATTATGCCATAATAGTTATAAACAATATAAAATCAAAGAATATTTAATATAGAAATGTTTAAATTATGCTTACTTGGTAATATTGCAAGCAAAATATCATTGATTCTTGATTCATGAAATCCTTAATACATCTAAAATCCTTTTACATAGTAGCTACAAATTTATGCATAAAAATGTGTGTTTGACGCTATAAAAATGGAGTTGATTGCTCATAAATTTACCAGTACAAAGATATGATTGATTTTGATCATTGCTTCTAAGCTTCCTTATACATTAAACTAATAAAATTCTCCATCAAAACTTTTTGGGTTATAATTTGAAAATCAAACTTAATAGTTTCACCTTAATGTACATGATTAATGCATATCTAATAAAGACAATAACACAGGTTTAAATGTCCCAAAATCTCATGTTAAACCCTTACTGATTTTCACTTAGAAATTATACTTGATTTGGGTTTTATTTCTTTTTGAAAACACTTAAAATTCTTAGTTTATCATGCTTGTAAATTAATTTATAGTTAGGTTGGAGCATACGTAAATAGAAAAAGATAAGATTTTTGGGATAGGGTTTACTTTCTTATCACATTAAAAGGAAGATAATGATGTTGTAGAAATAAAAAGAAGGAAAAGATGTCGAATCATTTTTCCTCCTCTCCTATTTAATCTTCCTCCCAATTGAATTTGGTGTAGTCGTACCTGAAGTCGTTAGCTGTTGAACTTTGGGTTCTTCTTCTATCCTCCCGTGCTGGCATGCTATGTGCCTTAAGAATTGACGTTGAACATTGCTTCAGTCCATCTCTCAATTGATTTGTAGGTCGGTTTCCTCATCTTCTTCCACATCTCAGTGTGTGTGACTTGCATTACAATGTCCTCATTTGGGTCTAATAAGTTTCATTGTCACTTGCATAAGGTGTTTAAAGCAATGGGTTGACTAGACTGTCTCTACCTAGAAAGTTCTTTATTTTTATGCACTCTGTTGCGCTTGATTACATAAAATGGTAGAGGAAACATGAAGCAGCTTCTGATATCATGTAGAAAGTTTGGTATTCTTATAAGTTAAATCCAATTATTCTGGATTTTTCTAATCTAAAAAAAAAAAATTGAGTACCAAGCAGAGGGATTAAAGATGTATAAATTGCTTTCAATTTTTTCATTAGGTGGGTTTCCATAATAACATCAATCAAGAGCATTTTGTAGTGCTTTGATTTTATTTATATTTAAACCTGAAAATTTAAATTGTTATCTTAGCTGAACATCTCTTTGTTTCAATTTTATGTTTTAAAATACATATTATGTGTTAGTTTTCATAATGATGAATTGTATCGCGAATTAATTTGAAGACTTGGAACCATGATTTTTTCTGGCAATCTATGAAACCGGGTGGTGGGGGTCGGCCATCTGGAATTCTTCTTAAATTGATGGAGAGGGATTTTGGTTCGTTTGAGCTATTTTTGAAAGAGTTCAAGACTGCCGCATTGACACAGTTTGGTTCTGGTTGGGTTTGGCTGACATGTAAGTGCTGCCTTTTTGCTTCTCAAAATCTTAGAACAAAGTTTCATCAAATTGTGTGCTTTAGTAATTTCCTACAGCTAACATGACGTTTAATTTCTTCAGACAAGTCAAATAGATTAGATGTGGGAAATGCTATAAACCCCTGCCCCTCAGCAGAAGACAATAAGCTTGTGGTGACCAAGACTCCAAATGCTATAAACCCCCTTGTCTGGGATTATTCTGTAAGTCATACTTATTTTTCTCTGTATTGTCTTCATGTCATTCAAGCACACTGATAAATTTTATGTTTCTATGATTGAACCATAACTTCTTATAGTCTAGCGATACTAATCTTATTGAGTTTAATACACCTTCAAACCACTAATCTTATTGAGTTTAATACACCTTCAAACCATGAATCAAGCTAATTATTTTACACCTTCAAACCATGAATCAAGCTAATTATTTTCAATGATAGCATAAGATTCCCTGGGCATTTAACCATGAAAATACATTTAGAAACTTTATGCAATCAACATGACTAGGGAGGATTTGTAAAATTATCCTTAAATGGTTGGCATAAAGCAAGATGATAAGTTGCATTATGCTACATAAAAATTAACATGGGCTGAATTAAGCTTCCATCATTGAAGAAAAAAATCTTGTGTTACTAAAATATTGTAAACTTAAGCTTACTTTCCTTTGCCAACATGCTAAATGCGAGCATGTGACTGATAGTTAGATTGTATGATATTTGAAAGTTTTTGGAGCAAGTCAATTGGATTGGTCATCTAAATATTAGCTCTGAACTATGCATACCTTTTTTAGTCAATGTGTTCCTCATGCTCGTTCTGAGCTCTTTGTCACGCGCCGTCATTTTCAAAGAAATGGCAAGACAAGTATGGGAAGGAAAACTCTAGAAGATACATGCATGGAAAGAACCTTCTAGAGCCAAGAAGGTGGAAGAGAGTTCCACACAACTCTAGAAACTTCTACAACTCTAGAAACTACTTCTACCCAATTTCAGAGGTCTATGGAAGACAATACTCCATGAAGAATTTAAGGATGGAGCATGGAGAGTTCAAGAAGAATCTAGAAGGATCTAGGATTATGTATTTATGTAAGAATTATATGGAATAATCCAAAAAATAGGGAATTCTAGAGCATTCTCATGGCTTTGAGCGGGACTATAGATAGAGGTCTCTCCCCTCATTTATAAGCACCTAAGAAAGCATGCAAGTTTTTAAGCTTTCAAGAGTTGTAATTATTCTTTCTTAGTGAAGTGTTCATTTCTCCAATACTTCTCCCTACTTTTCTTCTTATAGTGTTTGGTGCTCACATGAGGATTAGACTGATTTAGTGTCAAAAGAGCGCTAAAGTCGCACGGGTGACTTGGGAAAAGTTAGTCCGTGACAGTTGGTATCAGAGCCTTGGTTTGAAGGAATGACAAAGAGTGTCAAATAGCACGCGACGGAATCGGAAGCCACTAATGTAGAGTCATCTCAAGGACGAGGTCGTCAGGAGAAAAGAGATCCCGTTGCACCCAAGTCATATGAGTGATCCAAGGAGATCATGCATGACTTTTATTCGCACCTTGCTCGGATGGAGCAGACAATGAATGACATGAAGGGCCAAGTAGAGGATCTTGGCCAAAGGGTTGATGGACTCGAGAAGGACGTCACCATCCATTCAACGATCAGAGGTATGATGCTCCAACTTGAGGAGAACTTAATGGGCTATATGGCTAAGTTGCAGGAGAATTTGTTGGGGAAACTCCAAGAGGTGCGAAGAGCCTATGAGGAGGAGATGAGCGACATGTGTGCTAGCTTGGAGGAGATGCGCGGAGATATTTCACTGTGCAAGAGGGCACTAGCGGCATCCACAAGCCATCCCACTTTCAAAGCCAAGAGGATTGAAGTTCCAAAACCTATGAGTCTTGGAGGGGTTCGCAACGCAAAGGAAGTAGAAAATTTCCTATGGGGACTACAGTAATACTTTGGAGCAATAGGGATTGCCGATAAAGATGCAAAAATACAATTTGCATTTCTTTATCTCTCGGGCATCGCTATGCTTTGGTGGAGAATAAGAAAAAGAGATGTAGAGAAAGGTTTGTGCTCTATGTCTACTTTCAATGACCTCAAGAGAGAGCTAAAGAGACAATTTTATCCCGAGAATGTTGAGGATGAGGCTCGAGCCCGACTACGAAGGCTTAAGCATGAGAGCTTGATTCGAGACTACATTAAAGAGTTTACAAGCTTGGTTCTTGAAATCCCTGATATTTCATACAAAGATGCTCTTTTCAACTTCATAGATGGTCTAAGATCTAGTTTAAGAGGCGAGGAGTGCAAAATATTGCCACTGCCATCGCAGCTGCTGAAAGTTTGGTTAATTATTCAAAGGAGTCTAAAAAGCCTGGAGATAAGAAGAGTTGAGCCTGGAGATAAGAAGAGTTGCAATGTCAAAGGTGGGGATGACAAGGGCAAACACAGGGAGGAGAAACGTCGCGAATCAACCCCAACAAAGGCAAGGGACAAGGGGAAGACTAACAACAAGCCATATCAAAACAACAACTTTCTTTGAGAAGTACCTCATTGGGCAAGGGATTGGCCTCATAAGAAAACACTTAATTCTCTCCTTACAAGCCATAAGGAGGAAGAAGAACGTTACGGGGAAAATGACATTGAGGCATATGTGGGATCTCTTCAACTGCTGAACGGGACGCAAGCTCTAAAAAAAACCCCAAGGGAAGGGATTACTCTTTGTGGAGATGACAATAGGAGGGAAGACTACCATGGCAATGGTAGATACGGGAGCTATGGGTGCTTCCCACAACTTCATCTCCAATGAGGAAGCAAAGAGATTGAGTTTGTAGATGACTAAAGGAGAGTGCTCTATTAAAGTCGTCAACTCAACAGAGAAGTCAATCGATGGAATGGCTAAGGGGGTCAAGACCAACATTGGGACATGATCAAGTACTCTAGACTTTTATGTCGTTTCTTTGGATGATTATAAAGTTGTCCTAGGAATGAACTTTTTGGAGCAATTAAGAGCATTCCCAATGCCATTCGTCAATAGCCCGTACATCATGGAAGGGTGTCAAGCTTGCTCAATAATAAGGTTAAACAAGCAATGATCCAAAATGCTATCAACAATCTAATTCAAGGATGACATTGCACAGGACAAGGGGGACAACTTGACTATCCTTCATGATACCAATGAAGGAGAAACGACCCAAGGAGTCGGATGCCAAGGAAAATAAAGGAGGTTCCTAAGGAACCACCGAAAAAAGATGGTTCAACAAAGTTGGAGGCAAGGGATAAGCCGCCAGCCAGGAAGACTTGCTGCATGACACCCATCTCCCATAAAACTAAGGGAAAACCAAAGTTTGCCAAGTCTGGGGGCAAACCAAGAAGGCAGTTTCGAAGGTGCAGGGGAAGCCGCAATGAGGGCATTGCAGGTTTTAAGTGGAGGAGAGTGTTATGCTCCGCCATATTCTAGAAAGTGGCAAGACTTCAAAATAAAACAAGACAAGTATGTGAAGGAAAACTCTAGAAGAGGCATGCATGGCAAGAACCTTCTAGAGCCAAGAAGGTGGAAGAGAGTTCCACACAACTCTAGAAACTTCAACTCTAGAAACTGAAACTTCTACCCAATTCTAGATATCTAAGGAAGGCAATACTCCGTGAAGAATTTAAGGATAGAGCATGGAGAGTTCAAGTAGGATCTAGAAGGATCTAGGATTATGTATTTATGTAAGTATTGTATGAAATAATCTAGAAAGTAAGGAATTCTAGGACATTCTCATAGCTTGGAGGGGGACTATAAATAGAGGTCCCTCACTCACTCTAAAGTAGGATCTAGAAGGATCTAGCAATTATTCTTTCTCATTGAAGTGTTCCTTTCTCCAATATTTCTCCCTACTCTTCCTTAGAGTGCTTGGTGCTCACAAGTCCAAGTGTTGTGAGGATTAGACTGATTTAGTGCCAAAAGAGAGCGTTAAAGCCGCACGGGTGACTTAGGAAAAGTTAGTCCGTGGCATCTTGCTCTAGTAAAATACCATTGCATTCAGTTTTGAATAACATTATTTGTTATTGTTGGATGAAAAGATTGAAAAAGCCAATTTCTATGTTGCAGAACCTCTGCTAAGTGGTTACCATCTGGAGTATAAAAGGTCCAGAGATGGTAGGTGGGAAGTTTCATGAAGGATATTGTGCACTATCCCATCTTTTGATTCATTTCTCCAGCCTCTTTGTTTCATGATGCATCTCATTTAAGTTTTTGAATTATGCCTTTTTCCTTGACCAAAGTTTCATGGAATGAGTTACCTTCAGCCCTTTTAAAGGATGAAGCTAGTCATTTAGGAAATACCATTTTAAGTCTTTTAGGAAAGGGAAAAAAAAAGTGTTGATGAAGTATCCATTGAAAATTTATTGTTCTCTCAACAATCTCCTACCACCCACCGATCCTCTTTTTAAATTGGCTAAGAGTTTCTTTTTGACACGATACAAAGCATAGATATGTATCGATTTTAGAGTATTTTATCTTGAGAATGAGAGCTTCCTCTCATTTGGGTGACTAGGTACCTAATATGAGTGACTGTGCCCTTTTTGGAGGAGTGAATCCTTGCCAATTAATAGTCTGTTTTTTTTTAATGCAATTAGCTTGTTGCCTATAGTCCAAACATTTTTTTTTAGTATGCTATACTTTAAATATTTTGCTCATTAGCTAAGGACCCATTTGGCATCACCATTGTTTCCTGTTTTTATTTTTTTTATTTTTTAAATCATGTTTAGTTGGTATAATTTTTATATATTTTTATATTTTCTTTTTTACAAACACTAAAAAATAGTTAGAAGATGTTTGTTGATCTCGCTTTCGGTCGAGGTGTAGTTTTCCCCTCCTTAGTAGCCTAGGATCTAGCCGTAGGACCTTTCTGTCGACTACTCCTAGAAAACTAGTGAAGGAGTCTTTCCCGTTAGCAATTCTGGACTTTTCTTCGCTCGACTTGACGTTCCATGTAGTAGTCTTGACCGCTATTGCTTAGCAGGTAAGGCTACTCTGAAGGAACTCAGGGAGCATTTCTATAGGACTGCCGGCCTTAAGATTGATTTTACTCGTTGATTTGGCGCCACTGCGCTCTTCTCCGTCCTGTTTAATCGAATTCGAGCCGAAATTTTGATAGGATTTGGACCGCGACGCGTTTTTAACCCGATCGGCAACGAGGTTGCCCGGACGACTCCAG